TTTTATGAATTTATTTTTAAAAATTTTCATAATCTGCCTGTAAATGTTTGTATCTCAGGGTATACGGCATAAATCAAGAATTTTTTTTTTTAATAAAATATTTTTTTTTCATGTAGACTCTGTGGTCTGTAGACTTTAGACTGATTTCAGTTCAATACTTCAAACTCTGATATGATCATTAATCATTTAGTTGGCAATACTGGATTTAGTTTTAGGTGAACAATGCATGGATTTGTTCAGATGAAGTAGACTACGGTTTATCAGAAGAGTTTTGATCATATTGATCATTTATAGGCCCTAGAAATGCATATCAAATATGATACAGTAGGCTAATATAGTTCTAATGTCTAAAATAAATAGACATAACTATTGTTTAACAGAATGTTAAAACAAACGTTTACTGTAAGTTAAATATGAGAGAATAACATTTTTAAAAATGTAGCTGAAATGTTGTAGCACACGCATTCTTTTTTTAGTGAACAAACAAAAATAAAAAGTCATTGTAGAAGCCTCGAACTTTAAATGTGTCATCAGATGCCCATTTTGCACAAGTTTATATAATTCTTTAGGGTCCTAATGAAAAGTCTATAACATACTTTGGTTAAAATTTCTCAATCGTAGTGTAAAAAACACCTTTTTTACCCTGTCAAAATAAGCTCTGTTTTTAGCAAGCAATTCTAGTCCATGTTGCTTTAAATGCTAATGAGCTCTGCTGACCCCGCCCCTCTCTTCCGTGGGGTGACAAGAAGTACTGTTTACTTTAGCTCTGAAACTGGCTTACTAGCACATATTAGATTCATAAAAACCCCTTATACTCAGTTCTTCTGTAGATGAAGCTTGATCATGAATGATTCGCGCGAACTTAAACACATTTAGGCAGATCGGGGATCGGCGCATTCCCTTCAAAGCGAAAGTAACGTTAATCCTCTGCGTCTTCAGCGGCTCTCCACACCTCAATTGCTTAATCGGAGACATTCTTGTCTTCCTCTGCACCAGAGTCGACACAATGGCGGACTGATGACAGCTCACTCAGGGCGGAGCTAAGGTAAGACGGACCTGTCAATCAACTATCGTGGGAGGGGCCTGTGCAGAACTACGGAGAAAACACTCTTGGAACTACGTCACTCTGACAGGAATCTCAGAACAGCCTGATTTGAGAAAGGGGATTTTAAAATAGTGATTTTAACACACGACATGCACGCACTTTATGCCCACAGCTGTTGAAAACGGATTCGCTGGCCCCGATTCCTCTTCCTGTCAATACTTAAATGTGTGTCACCACAGCAAGACGACGACGTTACTGTTTAAACAGGAATATACATGAAATGCACAAGTAAATAATACAAACAAATTATTATCATGATTTGATATAAATAACTTAAAGTGCATTCAGAGCCAACAATGAGCCAATGCAAAATGGAAACAATGTATTAAAGTTGCCATAACAGTCATGTTTGCACAAATGTGTCCTAATAAGATGGAAAATAGCAATACATTAATTTTTTAGATGTCTCTTTATGGTCTTGCCCTTTTTTAGGGATATAGTGTTTATTCGTGAAATGCTTTTCACATCGACCCAGCTAACAGAGAACGTTCTGGCAAGATACTGTCAAAGTTATGAACAAATGCTCTTCCAGTTAATAGCACTTTTGTTCAAAGTTATCTGTTCTTCAAAGCAGCACTATGTAACTTCTTCTGTGTTCATTTGCAAACTGTATCTAATGAGCGAGTACATCATGATTTCATCTTCCAAACCGTGTTTTTGTCTTATTCCGAATCTCTACGGTACACTTATAATAAGTGCTTATATTTGGACTATTGTAGGAAAATTAACCATGGTAATACTACAAAAAAAAAACATGGTTATTGTAGTTAAACCACGGTAACCACACATTAACCACAGTTTAACCATGGTATTTGAAGTAAAACTTTGATTATACAAATGGTAATCAATCCACCAAAAACATGGTTACTAGACTTTAATAATTATAATAAAACCATGGTTAATTTCAATACATTTTTGTAAGAGGTTCCGTTAATGTTCACATAACCAAGAAATAAACTTTACATTTAAAAAAACTGGACGTTTTGAACGTTCAGAGAACATTCAGAAATAATGTTTTAAAATCTTAATGGGAATGTTATTCACTTCTAAAATGTTAAACAGCACTTTATTTTAGGCTTTTGTTATTTTAAGTCTGTAACCAAAGTT